TACGAATTGCTGTTTCTGTGGCTGTGATCAGCTCCACTAGCGGGATTTGTCTCGGTGTGACAGCAAAATTCAACCCTTTAGCAAGGATGTTGAAGAAGTCACTTGGATGAGTGATGAAACGTTTCTCCCACTGAAAATGCTACGCCCAGATGAACAGAATCAACCTTTGGAGATTTACTTTCCTGGATGATTGAGAATGCATCAAGACTGAATAGACTCTGTTTGAAAGAGACTTCTTCTTCCCCATCATCACCAAGTACTTGTTTATAGAGGATAACTGCAACACTCTATGGTCAGGATCAATGTTTTGAATTACCACTGTATGAATGAAATGGAATTCACCTAATGTGAAGAACAAATATTTATTCAATCATGACAGTAAATCCATAGACTGACTAGAAAATTAATCTCAGTTGTGCAGCTGGAAATTATCAAAGTGACTCATTTGCAAACGCCCTTACTGACCAGCGAGCTTTAGGTTTGCACAATAAGGTAACAGTCAATAGGAGCAGAAGCCTTAGAATTACAGTGTATAACTTGGGAATTTCCAGCTTTGAGCAGAATAGCATGTCTATGTCTACTGGGGGTCAGCAAATGTGGATTTTCACTTGCATTTTTGGTTCACCTCTTCCTGTCAGGCCTGTGAGTACTGCGTATTAAATTGATCCTGTAAAAGTTCAGAGTTTGCCGTTCATTGGGGAGGATTAGTGTAAAAATGTATGATATCCACTACAGTGGTTTTGCGGCACAGAGAAAAAAACTGAACGTCGTACATTCAATTTGGAAGGTTACATAAAACAATATGACTGAGATCCAGTCTCCATGACAATGTTAGGACCCCTTGGGCATCTGTGTCTGTCCAAGTTTTCAAATCCTCTCTGCTGTGGAGTCAGGGTCATCCTGGGACTGTATGTGGGGGAACAGAGTGTAGAATAAGACTTGGACGAGTGACCGCAAACACAGCGCTCCCTGTGAAATTCCACTGTCAAAAGGGGCTTTTTCCAGGCCTGGTGCACCACAACCCTCCGGAGACCCTCTGTTGACTGTATTTGCAGAGACTGAGAAAGAGGCAGACCATAGCTGCGCTACAAGTTCCTTATTAAAAATGTAGGCCCTTAAAACAAAAGTGCAGTAGAACAATGATAAATGCCTACGTTTATTATTTACAGCACCAAAAACTGAAGGTTTGGGGGGGGGTTGGGGTTCAACGCTGCACTCCCTGCATTTTCCTACCTCCTAGACAGGAAGTGATGCATTTTACAGTTGTACAGTCTGCTCACCACAGGTCAGCTGCATAAGAGAAGAGCGCCACCTACAGAAACCAGAACTTCAACAGGGGAACCTTCTGGAAAGACTGTCTGATTGTTTTGCCATCCACACTTCTGCAGTGCAGAAATATTTATGTCAGCAAGTACTTTAACAGGTCTATAACACCACTGCTGATTAGAATTCCCTTATTTTGAAAGGGCTTTAAAGTATGTTTATGAAAGTCAGTACTTTTATCAGTTTACTTTATTTTTTCAGCTTATGAACTATAATTCCTACAAAATCTATGAGGCAAGCATGTGAAAATGCTAAAATGCAACGTTTTTCCACTAAAAGGAATTTTTGTACTCCACAACTCTTTCCCTGAACCTCTTTATTTCAGCAGTACTGTTTTTGAGAAACACACATCCTGTAAATCACGCAGTGTTTCATCCACCTCTGCTGGGACCAGCTCACTCAAGTGTTTGCTTTGGAGCACAGCGCCATCTTGTGGTAAAGAATTAAAGAAAAACCCCCAAAAAATCCTTATTTCTGGAATAAAAACACAAACACATGCTTTATTTGTATAATAGTTTGATTTTATTCAACCTTTTAAAATCATGTTTTAAAAAGAAGTCAGCACAAAAATGAACCCAACAAAGGTATAATTATTTTGCAGATGTCATTCAAGACATATTCATTAAAAGACGCTTGTTTTTTTCTGTGCACTTGGATGGTGTGGACAATTTCAAAAATATGTATTAGGATCTCTCTATTTTTCTTTTTTCCATTTCCTTTTTTGAGTGCTTTACATATGGCTGCTCTTGTGCCAGAATAATTAAAGTTTTTTAATAGTAATGTGTGGAGTGTTAATAGCCACAAAAAAACAAAACAAAAAAAAAAGAATTTTAATAAATATCTCTAGCTTGTTATGGCTTTTATAACCAGCTTTACATGGAATTTAATTCCTGGGTATCATGAACATATGTCCCTGCTGTCACATATTTATTTCAGTCAAGTCTTACATGTTTGCAGATACGCAGCACTATTCCAAGGAGTTTGAGACCAGTACTGAGTGTGTGTGATCAGTGTCCATTTGCATTGCTCGACTGAAGTTCGACACATTGAGAGTGCTCAGCAAATGACGAAAGAGGCTAAACTGTATCTGATGAGAACACAGACTGTATATAAAAGCTGGACGTAGCCGCAGTGACGTCACCCCTAAGTTATGACCATCAAGGATTTTCGTGTTTAAAACTAGAGGTGAAGCGTAATAAACATAAACATGAATTTGACTCTTAATAAACACAACTTACAAAATGAACATCAGACTGTATGAATGTAGACTTGAAACTAGTGACTGAGCCCATAAAGTTCACCAGGAACATGTTTAGCGAGATTGTAGATCATGGGAGAAGTAGGGGGAATTTTCTTGCAAAGATTCTATGCAGCTGGATTTCTGCTACACTGACAGTAGCAGCCCCCTGCTGGACATATAAGAAAATGCAGGTTTAAGGCACGTTCACATTGTCACTGTTAAGACCTGAAAACTATGTCCATGTTTTTTATACAGTCTGCAGTTGAGAATCACCTCACCTCATCCTCACCTCCCATTTAAAAACATCTCCAGATGCTCAAAAATATCATAAAGTTGATTTAAGCACTACTTTATCACATTTTTGAGTGCTTGACTTCTCGTAAACTGTGATTACATTTCGCTGAAAAAGATGAGTCACTGGACTCAACTCAAACTAAAGGAGGTGAAGTGGTTCAGGACAGAAGGGGGGGGGGGCTAAATAAACACACATGTTGCTTGTGCTGATGCATCTTCACAGACTATCTTAAGTCATCTTTATCTTGAATTACCCGCTGTTACTTTAAAAGTGAGCTCCAAAACACAACTCGACTGACAAACATGTATTAGTGCTTAATCTCACGCCTCAGAATTGGAATTTTATCTCATCTTTCCTCTTATTCTAAGGTTGCGAGGATAAGTTATCTCCTTATGGGAGCAGATTTCAGTAACTTGTATCTAATGAGACAAAGAAAAGACTATTGCGAGTGGTAACATTTTTCTCTGGGTTAGTTCACAAAGCTGCAGAGCAGTGAGTAGAGCAACAACGCAAAACACAAACCTGTCTTTAATTCTGTCTGACCTATATGTGCAACAGCATATCAGAAAGACTGATAACAAGAGAATTTCCAGAGTAACCCAACAGGGGTGTGCTACGGCGCAAGATTAATGTGTTAGCGAGGTAAGCCAGTGTTTTTAGGCTCCCCTTTAACCTGGACAAGGAACGGTTTCCCATTGACGACTATAGGATGAGAAATCTTTTTATGCAACCACAGACGTCGCCCCCTGGTGGCCGTTAAAAACAATACCGGTTTAAGGCACTTAAGTGTAGGCTTCAGTTTTCAGTCCTATAAGCCATGTCCATATTTTATATGATATGGTGAATGTGCACAGAGCCTGGTTTAACAAAGACAATTAATAAAAATAACCAAGGTTGTGACTAGGGTTCTAGGTTTAGGGGGCTAAATAATGCAATAACTAAATGTCTGGCTGTGCTTTGAAGCACACTCCTATGATGCAACCACACAGATATTTATACTTTGCCTTTAATTGGCATGTTGAACCGCTAATGGGAGGGGGATTGGCTTTAGTAGTTTGTATACTGTGGATCAGGGGTCCTGTTTGCAGTTCTCTGAGGGCACCTTAAAGCACTTTACAGTGTAATAACATGTGGTCCCTTTAATGTCGGACAATGGTCGGTGCTCAAAGTCTCAAAGACATTAATAAAGAGGACAAATTGAAGATACGGAGCAAGCAAACAAGCTTACTTCAGCAAGAATGGCATAACAGGTGATGCCATAATTAAAACTGTCAGCAGAGCACCCTCAAGTCCGACGACACTAACCTTAACGGCCGAGATGAGCACCGCAGAATGCTAAATGGACACTAAAATGAAACTGTGGGGGCAAATTTTAATCTTTAGATATTTACTCTAGAAATATTAAGAGCCCGTGGGGACGGGACGGTCAAGGCGACAGCTAGCAACACATTTTAAAGAGACAACACAAACACAGGTGATTGCAGCACTGCAGATTGTACCTTTTGACAATACTCATGGCTGGTGCTGTTGGATATCAGCAAAAAGCAGAAATCAGACACGAAACTGATGAGGTCTATGTCTATTGTATTGCACATACAGAGACAAACGCTTGTTCAAGTTTGCATACGATAGTTACAAAACATATCCCTTTAGGAACCACAGGTAAAAGGTGAAGGAGGAAAGAAAAACCATCCTTAAAACACACACAAGTTAATGAACCACAAGGCTGAAAAGTGGCTAGACAAAAAGAGAAGGAACATCATCTTGATGTGGTGAACTGCTGCTGTGGCTCAGGTCAGTTTTATTACCTCCACGATGCTGATGATGCAGGATATTTGTGCGACAGGAGCGGAGAATGAAAACAAAGCTCGTCCAGCTGTGGACGTTTGTGACAGCTGATGCGTTATTCTGCAACGTGACCTGGAACTGATGCACAGAGTGCTCTTGTATCTTTGGCTTTCCTCCTTTGTGTGCAGAAACAGGACAACAGAAAATTGAAGTTTGAAAAATAAAAATAGCTTAAATGCACTTTGAGTTTGAAATGAGTCACTGAAGAAAAGAAAAAAGAAAAGAAAAACAGCTGGGGTGTGCTACGCAGTGACATAAATGTCATGATCAGGATTATGGCTTTTATTTTTCCTCCCATACAAACAGACTCTTGTGCAAACACACTGCTCAGGAAAGCAGTCTCATATCTCTGATTGCAAATACAAGAAAGGGTGATTGTGATAATAAAGCACTGTGTTTTTCACACCGAGTGATCCATGGCTATTATTCAGGCAAAATCATCTTCACTGAGCTCCAGTGTGAACACAGCCACAGAGATTTAAAGTGGATTCAGATGGTCCAGCATGAGGGGGATGAATGTGGGGCTGTTTTGTTTGTAGCTCATCAATCTGGGAGTCCAGCCTCTGGTGACAACATCCAATTTTTCAGGAATTCCAGCATCAGCCAAGCTTATTTTGTGCACTGGTCATCACTTATGAATACTGTTAAATTTAAAAAGTTCCCAGATGATAGCTAATGCTCTCCACGCGTACATACAAAGAAAGGCTGCTTAAGGTGAGCAAAGTTGAGTGAACTGCGGACTGCTAGCAGCTATAAATAAAAAGTGAAAATGTTCCACTGCCAAAGATCTTGCAGCTCGTCTGCAGATTTACGTACAGATATCACATCTCACTCGTTTGCTTCCTCTGGTGACCGCTGCGGCTGGCGACAAACCTGATGGCTCTCTTCCCTCCAAACAATTATTGTTGCTCTTCAAGAGCCGGTTAGAGTCGGGGCATGAACACTAACAGATGTGCTATGATGTAAAGAAAACAGGCAGTGCGTGCTCACCGCTCAGTGTGAAACTAAGACAGACAAACAAGCTCGAAAAAACCTCTCCTTGTTCTCTGAATCGACACCAGCTTACAGGAAAGCCACCACAGAAAAAAAAACATTCGCGCCTTGAAGCACAGATTTTGGTTGGTTTTATTTTTAGCTCTCCAGTCAGATCTGTGAAAATATGATTAAATTAAAACTTGTTGAAGGAGAACTCCAGCAGTATTCGTACCCCCCTAAAAAAAAAATCCCATAAAGCAGCATGCTGCATTTCCCTTTCCCTGCCTGCTTAAGACCATACCTCGCCTACTGCCATACGCTGAGTTTGCTATATGCAAAATTAGTTCCCAAATCCACCTTTTTTTAAAATCACTCCGTGGGGCCTTCCTGCCACACAGAAGGCCTTAAACAACTGCTTTTACATGAGAAGCAAACTGGACATCATGTGGAAATCCCTGGGGTGTGCTTGTAAGCAACAGTCATGATATGTAGGGGATCACCAGTATGGCCAGTTTTACTGAAGGGAGAGAAAAAAAAGAAAAAGAAATCAGCTTGAGCTTTTTGTTTTCACTCGCCGCTCCGTATCATACCTGCTGGTGAAGAGAAAATGCCTTTTTCCCCTCCTTTTTTTTTTTTTTTGTTCAACATTACCAGACCACATCGAGAGCAAAAAAAGCTGGATTTACATTCATCCGGTGGTGGAAGGGGAAAAACAAAACAAAACAAGTGACCATAAACAACTGATCTGATCAAATTTAATAAGGCCTGTGCTGCTCCCTCCTGCTGGTCATGGCGTCACTGCGCAGTCAGCAACGCAGCGGTTAAGACGACACTTTTTGCAAGGGAATTCCGCTTCCCCTTAAATCAATGACATTAATCACTTAAGCTATGACTTTTAGTCCAGTCTCAACTCTCAATGCATCGTATGGGTCAGCTTCGTAATCTTGTCGCACACCCCCTCCATACACACACACCCACACACATACACAACCATTCTCTTCTGTCCACAAGAGATCTTTTAAAAGAAATAAAGGCAACACTTATAGCTTAGGTCCATCTAAAAGTTCCTGAATCTAAAAAAAAAGAAAAGAAAAAAAAAAGATATATTAGCCCAACAGTAAAATTGCAGGTGATTACCCACCCCCCTTTTTGTCTTGTAGAAGGCACACAAACTACCACAAAAGTATAGTACTAATCTTTAAATGTGCAAAAAAGCCCAGTTGACTTTATTTCCTCAGTAAGGGAAAGGAAAAAAAAGAAGAATATTCAGCACGTTTCTTTTTTCCTGCTTTCCTTTCCTGTTTCTGTGGAGGACAAAGAGAGCAACAGTGCCGAGTTTATAGGTGTCATAGCAGAAATACGCTCTAGAACCAACGCCTCTGCAGTTCCTCTGTTGGCACTGTGTTAGCAGGCTAAAGGGCAAAGGCAGAGTCTGCATGTGCAGCTCTGATGTGCACGTTCTGTGCACTGAGAAAAGGCTTGCACACCAGCGCGAGGAGCTCTGCTTTAATATGCAACGATGACAGGCATCTCTGGTTAGTGTGATGACTGGAACGACTCAGCAGATCCCCCCCAAAAAACACACACGTGCACACACAGGGACATTTAGAAAAAAGGAGAAAAAAAAAGCAGCACTTTTCAGTTTCTTCTTTGTCTGTTTTTGTTTGTTTCACCCTCACAGTTTATTTCTCTTTCGGTAACAGTAGCTTTTGTCAAGAAGAATAAGTTATCCAGCATTGGGAGGCACCTCTGGTCCATCACAGACTGCATCGCTCCTCTGACGGTCCTCGGTCACTCGGGCACAGGTGAGGAGGCGGTGGTTGTCGGCGGTGATGGTTTGGGGGCTTGGAGTGCCTGTGGGTTGACGATGACCTGGATCACAAAGTCCTTCTGGATCTTAGTGTCTTGCAGCCGCGTCTTGTCCGTGAGCAGCTTCCCGGAGAAGAACCAGCGCTGGTGCACGGCGTCGATGTCTTCCTGGACTTGCAGTTGCTTCTTCAGCTGGCCTATGGTGTCAACCATGCTGACGCTGAGACGCAAGTCCTTTCCTGTGGACAGCCTCACCTACAGGGGAGCAGGGAGCAGAAGAGTGAGCTAACAATGCTGCATGGAGAGGTGAGCCAAGTTCCAAATGCAAAGAACTCAAAAACTGGTCCGTGGCTTGTTTTGTGTTGGCATTTTACAGTTTTAACCACGTAAGAAGTCTTAATAAATGTCAAAAGCTGCATGAATGTTAGTACATAAGCTTCTCTAGCATCTGTTTGCACTTATTAGGCACATATGAGGATATGACTCATAACCACAGGAAGTAAATGATGGATGAAATCTGTTTTTCTGTCCAAAGGTGAAACCAGCGGCTCAAACAGCTAGCTAACACAAAAACAGAGTAATGTGTAACTACATCAACTTCCCCAGAGCCTGTCAATCTGCAGCAGTTTAACAATTAATCAGGAGAAGCACAGCCACAACATTAATGATGATTTGACCCAGATATAGTCACACTCTACTAATATTAAGGTTCTCCATATCAGAACATAATAAAACATTTCCTAGACTTTAGCAGTTCTTGAAACCTAAGACATGCTGCCTTGTTCTTTTTAGAGAGAAGAGACTTTGTTCAGTCTTTGTCTAGTTGTTCTGTCAAGAACTTTAACAGTTCACTTCAGCATGTTAAATGTTAAAGTAGGGCTGTAGAGTCTGAGACGTGGGGGGAATTTTCTGTTACTTCCACTGCTGGGAAGAATGGTGGCTGACATAACTGTTTTCCATGTGAGAGTCATCTTTGTCACTGGAAATGGCCTCATAACCCTTCCCACGTAGGTGGAAGCAATTGTTGTTTCTCTTAGGGTGTTTTCATATCAGCAGTGTTTGGTCCATTTAAATGGAACTGGTTCCTTTTTCCCCTTGCAGTTCGTTTGTGCAGGTGTGACCACGGTAATCGCACTTGGGTGCAGACAAAAACAACCACACCACTGTGGAGGAGCTGGTCTTGTTATGGTTCCAAATGAACTCCAGAAAACTTTCTTTATGGTGCAAATGCTGTAGGCTTGAGCTGAAATCTTCCTGGACCCTTGTATGCTTTGTATTCTGGGATGAGGCAAGGTACTATAGATGTACAAAGGTCTGTACAGACAGGCAACTAGTTGTGACGTGATTGTAAATTCTTCATGGTCATGTTCAATAGTCGGGAGCACAGCACCTTCTTCTTGTATTTACTTTAGTTGTTCTCACCTCAGACACATCTGGCCAATCAGCAAACTGAACACTCTCACTTGACTTGCAGTGAAACATTTTGGTTCACTTGGAATTGATATAGATTTTTCTGTGTGTAAAAAAAGTTTACAAAGTCATCATCTGATTTGGAGCAGACTAAATGAACTGTAGGTACGAATAATGCTGTGTTTCCTGTCTGGAACTGTGTCAACACACACCTGAATCCTCCAGAATAGCAAACTACTAAAACTTCTGCTTTTACAGAAGTGCTCAAACTTGCTGACCAGCAAACAAATCCATTCAAATTACTAGCACCTGGCTGCTATCTACCCCCTTAATTGTTGTGGAAGCAGTAAGGGTGTACTCAGCATTTCACACAATGTTTCTGCATTTTTTAATTGCATGATTAATGGCAGTATAAAAAGTCAATTCTATCAGTTTTTATGACTTGCTAGAGGACTAGATCACTTTTTAGCATGTTCTGATATGCAAAACCTTGGAACTGTAGTTTTGGCATGACTGTATGGAGATTTACATATTTAGCTTTTTATGCAAACTTCAAGGAAAACCCCAAAACAAAGACTGAGGCAACCATTGCCTCTTGAGTTGCCAATATACCCAACTGAATATTCGTCTAAACTTAATCAGTTACTCTGAATTATATTAGACCAGTACATCTATTTGATTACATTGAGTACAGTGTTTACAGTGTGGATTAATATGCAGATGACACCATTTAATCCTAATCAGTTGGTAACGTGACCCGTGTCTTACAGGAGATGTACTAGTCGTGGTACCTTGAGCTGGAATTCCTTCTTGGATGCTGCTGGGGGTTCAGGGCTGTCGCTGGGGTCCTCGTCACTACGCTCTGAGATGAGGTTGATGGGTGGTGCCAGGCAGTAGACGGGCAGCTGGTAGCGGTTCCCAAGTTCATCGTAACACTCTGTCAGGGTACCTGAGAAGAGGATGCCACAGAAAAACAGGTCACATTGTAAGTTAAGTCTGGTTTAAGCAGCCTATGTGAGAGTAAGGTGAGAACTGTACTGTATAAGTATACTGTGTGTGTTCTGTCCTCACCGTGTGGCAGTGTGATGCTGGCTCCATCCACTATAGCCTGAGCTAATTCATGGTCGTTACACTCCAAGGCCACAGCGGCTGCTTTCAGAGCATCCCAGATTTCCTTGCGGCCCTCGAAGGCCGGCGCCGTGTCCCAAAATTCATCCCGCTTGCTCCGTAGCTGGCCCTCTGTCATCGGGTAGTCACTCTTCCACTTGGGACGATCTTTTTTCAGAGGCTCGTTACGCCCTGTAAAGGTAGAGGAGTGTATTGATTTAATGCTGAAGTTTCACACTCATAATACGCAACAAATAAAACAAACACCCCACTAAATTCTAAGGTCAGAGGCAGAATTCTGAAAACACCTAATTTAAGGTAACATTTGAACACAGCATGAGGTCCTCTCATTACAAAACAAGTGTTGATTAATTCACCCACATGTACAATTTATTTCCCTTCTTACTATTGTAAAAATGGAGGAGGAAACAACAGGAATCCAAACACGACAGTCAGTGGAAGTCATTTTCACAATCCTCATTATCACGTGTAAATGCCGAATGCAGAGAGCAGGCAGCTTGGCTAATGAGGAAAGCCCAGCCTTAACTCTGTTCTTTCATCTCCTCACTGTAATAAACAGAACTGCCAGACAGCAACTCGAGCTGTCATCAGAGAAAGATCGTCCTACCCCACCCTAACATGTCTTCTCAATCTAAAATTAGGAGGTCATTCAGAGTTTGCTGTATCCATGAAGCGTATGCTTACTCTATATCTGTCTATGTAACCTTACCTTCATGTTTCCCACTATTCAGTATTAATACAGAGCACACCTAGGCCAGGAGAACACTGACTGATCTGGAGGGAAAGCATAAGGACAACAGGCTAGGATCAGCCACCCATCATTGAAACTTCCAGTGATTTTCCACACCTGTTTGTATCATAGCCG